AGGACACACAAGAGGCTGGAGCGAGAGCGAGCGCGAGCGCGCGCGCGGCCAGCGGGAGGGGGGAGGTACGAGAGGGACTCTAGCGGGAGGAGGGACGGGGGAGCCACCCAGCAGCCGGAGTCGTCCCAAGCGCGAGACCCCTGAGACGGCCGCTGATTGGCTGACGATGGCGCAGGTGGTGGGCGCGCGGGAGACAGGACGGCTTCTCTCCCCCCACTTCAAAGAGTTCACCCCCCTCTTTCCTCCACCAGCAGCCGTTATTTCGCGCGCACGCGCACAAAACCGCTGTTGTTGACGAACGGGAGAATAGGGGAGCGCGCTCCGGGGGTACGGATGGGGCGGGGCCAAACTGAAAGCGCGCGCCCGCCTAACGGTCGTCGTCCTCGCGCTTTCGCGTAGGGTTTTTGACGCCTACCGGCCACCGTCCTTTTCCCCTCCTGCGGTTTATTTACAATCCTGTGTGGCTGCTCGTTTTCCCAAAGATGGCGCCCAGAGGAGTTACCTCGCGGGTCTTGTGCCTGTCCCAAGGCAGTTACACCCCCGGCCCCGCCCCGAGTCTCAAGAATCAGGCGGAAACAACGGAGTTAAAACTGTATTTATACAAGAATTGGTTATACAAAGACTTAAGAAAAAAAAAAGGGGGGGAGAGTGAAGAGAGGAGCCGGTAGTTAGCAGGGACCCCAGCGCTGGCCGGCCGCGGCGAGACCCAGGATGTTCGCCTGCAACGGAGAGAAGCGGAGAGAGCAGCGTTAGGGGCGGGGCGGGGCAGGGCACCAGCCGGGAGAGGAGGAGTCAGGCAAGGAGCTCACCTTCAGGAACGACTCCAGCTGTTTCCCTGACATGACTTTCACCCGCTCCAGATCCTCCACCTGGCAGGACAACACCAATGGGAAAAGGGTCTGGGGGCACCGGGCTCCTTTTCCCCACATCCAGCTCTGTTCCACGGCTGCCTTCCATGGGCTGTTACCTGACTGAAGGGGCCGTGGAGCTCCCTGCAGCCCACGATGAGCTGGGCCTTCTTTTGGCCAATGCGCTGCAGGCTTCGCAGATCCCGCGCTGAGCCCTCATTCAGCAGCTCTAGTATCTTTTGGCGCCCATGGGCCAGTAGCTCTGGGCTGATCTGTAGCTCCCAGCAGTCCTCGGCCTTCTCATTAGGCTCTGAGGCATCCAGGTGCTCCAGCTGTGAGGCAGGACAAGGTGAGTGACCAAAACAGCAGTATGCTGTTCGACCTGCAGCAGCAAACCGCTGACTCCTCTGCTGAGGACAGGAGCCTAACAGCAGCCACTTTCACCACCCTCTCCAGCCTTTCTCCCTCCTGACAAGTGTCAGTCCAAAAACCCTTCCCCTCTGTCCAACCCAGCCTTTCAGTATCCTGGCTCAATGAACTCATTTTACCCAACTTGTGCAAGAATGGTAAGTGGCTGTGAAGATTGAACGAGTTAATGTAAAGCACACAATAAGCTTAAATCTGGTCCTTCATTTCAGAAAAAGAAAAAGCACATAGAAGGTACTCTAGAAGTGGCACCTCCCCCCAACCACACCACTGCAGTTTTTAGGTAATTCTTCCAGTGTTATTTCCTGAGTGTTGTCATGTTTTCCTGTGGTGCTCTCCCACAAGTGCGCACTGTCCCTTACTCCCAGGCTGCAGGTGTAGCCTCAGCCTCCAGCAGCTCTCACCTTTCTCTTCCGGCTTTTCTTCAGGATGTGGATTTCGGGATTCGGGGATGCTGCCTGCTCCTGGACTGAAAGCAGGAGTTGTGAACTGGGTCATTATAGAAGCCCCTTTTCACCCTCCTGGTGGCCACTTGCTTCTCCCATTTGATTTCCCAGTTCCCTTGACTGTTGTGTTTCCACATGACCTTTCTTTCTTACACCGCTATTTGAAAGTAACCTCCATTGGTCTAGCACAGCGGTTCTCAACCTTCCTAATGCCGTGACCCCTTAATACAGTTCCTCATGTTGTGGTGACCCCCAACCATAAAATTATTTTCGTTGCTACTCTATACCTGTAATNACACACACGGCCAGCCGAGTGGCTCAAGAGTGCGAGCTCTGAGCAACAGCTGTTCAAGTCCCGGCCCGAGCTGAGCTGCTGAGCTGCCAACGGTGGCAGGACAGCTCAGCTATAAAAAAATAAATAAAAGACACTGTGGACATCTTTGTTTGGAAGGGATACATCTGAGAGGCAGCCTCCAGTCTGTCTCTGTCCTAGCTCAGTTTGCAAAAGGCACTGACATGCACGCCTTCTCTATTGTAAGCTTGCTTTTCAGTTTGCTTTCGATAAAAAAGTCATTAAAAAAAAATTTTTTTATCATCAGAAACCACATGCAGAGAAAACTTAAAAAAAACCTCTTTTTTCTCCTTAGTGAAAAATTTTTATATTTAGAATTAGCCATCTGGACTTGGGCTAATTCTAAATATAGAATGTTCTAGGCACCATCCAGAGCATCCTAGTGGGAGCCAGTGGAACATATGCCACCTTCTCTCCATCAGGCCTGATCAGGGTGCTGACCTTGGCCACGTCAGTGTCACAGGGCTTCTTCATAGCCCGTTTAATCTGGGGCTTGCTGGCCTTGCCATCCACAATGAACGCCAGTGTGTCGCTGTCTTCTATCTTCTTCATGGCTGACTCCATAGTTAGGGGACATCTGACGATGGCACAGGGGTCAAACTTGTTTATCCTGGGATGCTCTTCCGAGGGTATTTGGGCTGCCTTCTTCCCTTTGGGTGCCATCTTAAGCCTCTTTATTTTTGTGAGGACTGAATGAACTGGAAAAAAATCTTATGAGGAGGGTATTTCTTTATTTTATGTTGGAGTATACTGTTCTCCTAACAGCAAAATTCAAACCTAGATCGCTTCCCCTCTAAAAATGTGCTTTTGGGCCAGCCGAGTGGCTCAGTTGGTTAAGAGCTCACTCAAGAGTTTGAGCTCTGAGCAACAGCGGTTCGATGCCCGGCCTGAGCTGAGCAGCCGCTGAGCTGCCAACAGGTGGCAGGATGGCTCAGCTTAAAACAAAACAAATAAATAAATAAATAAAAATGTGCTTTTAATGAGGATGCCAAAGTGCCTCCCTATTATGCAGCAACTAGTAAAGTTCTTGGCAGCTCTGCCTCTCCTTTTCACTGGCAGTAGCAGTGGGTTGTTGGGAGCCATAGGCCTCCTAGAAGTCAAGATGCTGGCACAAGCTGGCCAACACAGAAACAGCAAGACAACAAGGCGGACAAACTTCCCCTGGAAAGAATTCTTAAATGTTTTGCACATAAGAAGTAAGGTATTCCCTATTGGCAGATGGCCTGTTTCAAAAACGGCCTCCGTTCCTACATCTGACAAACGAAGCTAATTATACCATTTCTCACTTGTGATTTACAAAGTACTCAGGCATCTAGTTTTCATTTGATCCTCATGGCAATCCTGAAAGCCAGTAGCAGCAAGCAAGTAGAAATCTGCAGGTACACTTGCTGAGAAAACGAAGGCACAAAGAGGCTCACTGACTTGTCAAAAACAGCCAAGGAGCCTCTTCTTGCCTATCTTCTCCCGTGTTTGTTTGTTTGTTTGTTTGTTGAGAACAGACAAAGATGGCAGATACAGAAGGACTTAAGAAAGCTCAGTGATCAATACATGGGGAAGTCTGTGGTGATATAGAAAGAATGTAGACTCTGGTCAGACAGAGCCGAATTTAAATTCCAGTTCTAACACTTACTAGCTTGTGAATTTGAGCAAGTGACGTAACATCCATGTTCCCCATTTCCTTGTCTATAAAAGGGGTGGGGTGGGCGTTGGAAGGGCTTAATGAGGATTAAAAGGAGTAACATGTAAAATTCCAACACAATAACTAGCATATAGTGGGTAGGTTCATTACTCAAGTTAAGAAAGACTGGGTTTGGGCTGGCTGAGTGGCGCAATGGTTAAGAGCTGGCTTGGGATGCCAGAGGACCCCAGTTCGGATCCCACATATGAGGGTCAGTGACACTGCCCTCTACAGCTAAGATGCTGAACAACAGCTCAACCTGGAGCTGGGCAGCCGTGAGTCGCTGGCGACCGCGTTGGCTGCAGCCACTGCTGCAGTGGGTTGCCATGGGCTACCGTGTGTAGCCATCAGCCACCGTGAGCGGCCGTCCAGAGGCCAGCGACTGATCTGCCTCGCCCAGGAAGAGCGCATTGATGGTGCCAACTTGGGCCAGTGAATCAACATCCTCCACAACTAGACTGAAGAACAGAAGGACAGCAACTTGTCTGTTCCCCTTCCCCCAATTCCCCAATAAAAATCTTAAAAAAAAGGACTGCTGCTCCTAACACTTCCCTCCTGAGGTCTCAGCGACCTGGGCCCCCACAGCCAAACTTACTCAGTTGTAGAGGTAGCACCACGGCCTTTTTGAGGGGCTTGGCCACCGTGACCGCGCGGCGGGCAAAGGGTCGGAGCACTGTGAGGGAACAATTCTCTTTCTCTGTTGAGTCCACAGCCTCCTGGGCCAACACCTTGGCTTCCAGCTCTTTCTGCTTCATCTTAAGCCTCTGATGGGAAGGATCAGGGGGAGAGGTAACCCAGAACCAACTTCAGGGCACCTTGAAGGATAGTGGACTAGGAAAGTGAATGAGCTGGGCTCCAAGGCCCAAGGGCAGGGTGGGGACCAGTGAGAGAAGCTACCAGGAGACAGCTGGGTCCCAGCCTAATTAAGGGCCTTCCAATGATCAGGGCTGCCCAGCAGTGGGACAGCCTCTCTGAAACACTGGAGGAACTATTCAAGCAGAGCTAGGAATTTTTCCTCTCAACTGATCTCAATTATTTTTCAAAGTTAAGCCATATTTAGGACATTCAAGCAGAAGCTGAAACACTGAGGGATTCCAGTGTTGGGTGGAAAATGGATGCTGGTCCAGCCTTTTAGTGTCCACCTCCATCTGAAGACCCTCATTGCTTCTCAAGGCCAATAGGAATCCCAGCCCCCACCTCTAACACTTACTTCAATCTCCAAATCCTTCTCCTCCACTGTCTTCATAAGCAGCATACGATCTCGCTTTGGTGTGCTCAGCAGAGGGGTCCCTTTGGTCCCCTGGGAGCCCAGCAAACGGTCCAAGCTCAGGAGGCGCTCCAGCATGGCTGGGTCCATGCTACTTAGCTTCTGTAGGGGGCTGAGCAGACAAAGAGGTGACTCCCCACCTACCTCTTCTCTCATCACCCCTCATCATGCCTTAACCTGGTGTTAACTTGTTGGACAACTCTGAGCAAGTCACCGAGATTCAGTGGAGTGTGGGGATCTCAGGGATGCTGCGAGATCAGATGAGAGCAAGCATCTGATGAACACCTGACTTCCAGGTCTGTGGGGCCTGTGGGCCTGTCTAGGAGGAGGAGCATTCAGGGAAGCTTCACAGCGGAGGTCATGTTCAGCAGGGCTCTGAGAGCCCCCGAAGACCTCAGTGCTGCCCATCCTCCTGACTTAATATGAGCAGAATAATGCCGAATACTTGTTTCTTCAGTCTGGAATCTGTCCCCTCACATCTGATCTCAGTTATCATTCAAAGTCAGTTGGATGCTACCTTTCCCATAATGCCTGTTTGGCTACGTATCCTCCTTCCTACAGTTTGAACTATCTCCTCAGAAACAGGGACTGCCTGTCCTTTGTGTGCAGGTGCCTGGGAAGCACAGGATCCAAACATGTGGGTTAACATCAGAAGCCACTTCTCCCTTCCTAGCTTTCCCTTACCGCTGTGTACCACGTACGTGGCCTCATATCCCTATGCCCTGTCTTATTTCTCTTCTGAAACGTGAGCTCGAGGGCAGGGTCTATGCCCCATCTCTGAGCACCCCCGTAGAGTGCCTACCTGGCATAGACCTTGCCTGCTCACATGTAACACAGATGTACAAGTACGTGTGTTTCTCTGAGTTGTGCACACAGGAGAGGGGACTGCTGACAAATGGCTTGGGAAGGACATGACAATGAGGGGTTTCTGAGTGAACAAGCACCTTTCAAGTATGTCATCCTTCCTCAGCTACAACAGCCCCCTGGGCGAGAGTGTGCACAAATCCCTGGCCTCCTCACTTCACCTGTGCTCAGGAGTCTTAGGATTTAACAGTGTAAAGAGGCTTTATTTGGGCTCAGGGTAGAAACAGGGCAAAGTTAAAACTGCCACTGCTCCTTGGAATTAGGGAGACATAGAAAGCAAGGTCACCCAACAGAGGTGACCTGAGGGTTAGTGCAACTGGGCCATGAGAAGGGGCTTTCAGAACTTGGGGTGGGGGGTTGGGGGGAGGAAGGCACACACACAGAAGGGACTCAGAGAGGCTTTGTTTGGGTGGAGGGTAGAAGCAGGGCAATGTCAGGAAGCAGCTGGCTCCGGGGAGAGTCAAGGAGGGTTGGACTGTAACACACAGGCTGAGAGGCCTCAGCGAGACAGCTCTCTCCATCTCTTCCTTGTCTCTTATCCTTTGGACCTGAAACACTCTATACAGATTATTCCTTAAACCAGAAGCAAAAGTGCTCATCCTTGGAACAGCTGTCCACAAATGTGAGGTTTCGCTGACTGCCTGAAGGGGTTGGAAATGGAGAGGGAGGTGACGAGGTGCTCAAAGAGGAGGCCTCCTAGGGCCCCACGCAGCCTCGCTGAGGAGGAACAGGCTCGCAGCTCAAGGATCTGACAGGGTGAACCCACTGCTGCTCTGCACCCAAGCCAGACCCAACAGGACAGGATTATGTCCCAGGCCCCCACCCCTCTGCTCACCTGAATTTCTGAGAGGCAGAAGCTGGAGGTGCTGGGGACTCAGGATTCCCAGGCTCCTCTTCCTCGGGGCTTCGGGCTTTCTTTGCCTCTGAAGGCCCTAGTTCTTTCTGAGACAGTTTAACAGGTGCCAAGACTACGGAGAGGTGGGAGGATGGGGGTGTCAGCCTCTGTGCTATTGTTTGTGGACTCAGCAACTCCCCAGCCGACCAGGCCTTTCCACTCCTGCCAGCCCCGTCCTCACCATGAAGCTGGAGGCTCTCATTGGTAAAAGGTCGGTTGATCACTTCCTTGGACCTGGCAGCAAAGTTGAGAGCAGAGAGCGTGTCTAGGTAGAAGCATCGCTCCGGGGCGATGTTGGCAATCAGGATGCTGTGGGCGGAGCCACCTAGAGAGTCCTGAGGGATGGGGTGGGGCAGGAGGGCTGTCAGAAGCCCCCATGGCCAGGCCTTGGCTGCAGTGCCCCACCTCCCTCCTCCCCCAGCAGGCCTGGGAACCCCCTTCTTCAACCCCTTTTGCCCTGAGATGGTGGCCAGACCTGGAGCAAGCGAGTGAGCTTGCTGTCGCGGTATGGCACGCGGGGGAGGCCCTGGTGCAGCGCGTCCACCACCTTGCCCAGCACGAAGAGGGAGGTGTTGATGGCCCCGCTCTCCTTCAGCCGCAGCCCCTTGTTGCCCGTGCGCCGGTTGTCCTCCGATCCAGCCAGGTCAATCAGGTAGAGCTTCCCCTCCCGCTGGCGAAATGGAGCCAAGCGTTCCCGCTGGTCCACCTGAGGTACGAGCGAGGGCCCCGGCTCAGCTCAGGCAGCTCAGCTCAGGCCTGGGGGCTGCCCAGGACCCCCCCACCCCCGTCCAGGCCTCACCTTTACCAGGAGCACTGCGTGACTGCGGGAGGAGCGCTGGTTCAGGCGCGTGGCTCCCACAGTCCGGTTTCCACTGGCTGGCAGGAAGTGCCGCTCAAAATCGGCAAAGCTGGCAATGGGCTTCTGTGTGAGGCCCGGGATCAGGATGTTTCCCCGACAGTCTTCTCGGATCACCAGGTCTCCCGATGCGGGGTCCAAGAGGTCTAAGACCTGTTGGAGCAGTATAAGGTGGGCCGGTGTTCCAGACATAGGCTGCTTACTTCCCGAGGATTAGCTTCCTCTCTGCCGGATTCTCAGATGTACCACCTACTACACCATCTTGGCTCCTTGCTAGAGCAGAGCTTCTTCATGTTCTAGAACTGGGTCTTATGTTGACCCTTTGTCTCCTCCCTCCCCAGCCAGAGCAGGGACTCACCTTTTCCTGGTAGATCTCTAGGTAAGACATAGTGACCGAGAGGGCCCATGGCCGGCCCTCAGCACCCTCCTCCCGTGTGAGCTGGAGGAGGTCCATGAGAGCCCGGGGAATCACTCCAGGTTGCTCTGGGCTGCCCAGCATTGTATGTGTCTTCCCTGGGGAAGGAGTGGAAAGAGCCATGAGACTGATTTTCCTCCCCACTCCTGAGCCCTCTCTGGCCCACAGCTGTGCCCCTCTGACTCCCTCACCTGCCCCTGTGGGCCCATAGGCGAGCACACTGACATTCTGCCCTTCCAGCAAGTGCCTGAGGATGGGCTGTACGGATCCTGAGTAGATGTCCTGCTGGGAGCTCCTCTCGCCATAGAAGGCATCAAACCTGTGGGCAGGAAGAAAGGTGGGACTTAGGGATGGTTCCAGTCTCACCCAGGCCTTGAGGATAATACTGGCCTCGAGGATAATACTGGCCTCTGATTTAAAAAGAGTCTCTATCCCTTTTCTTACACAAGACCTTAGGAAGCACCCACCTGCCCCATCCCAGTCCCTGCACTGGTGTGAGGAATAGAGACGAGTCTGCGGTCCCTGCTCCTGGGAGCTCTGCAGACGAGTGAGAGGGAAGGTACCATACTTTGCTGTGATTCGGGAAACAAAGATGAGAATGCACTAGAAGCAGGAACTGATTCTGCTTGAGGAAGAAAGATTTGGCCAGAGGAGAGAAAGATTCTCCACGTTATCAAAAATAGCACACTGACAAGACATGGGATAGAGAGGCAGGACTTCTCAATCCTTCTCACGTCACAGTATTTATAAAGTAAGATTCATGCACCACAATGGAGGTAGCAGAGGAGGCTGCTGATGACCAGCTGAGACTCAGCACACATCTGGTCCACTCACTGCACTCTGGTGGAGAAACTGTGGTAGAGGCCACATCCAAGGTCAGTGTAAGTGGAAGAGGGCACGAACTGGGCGGATGAGGCGCGAACAGAACTGAAGCCAGACTTTCAAGGGCCTGGCAAAGAGTGGGCACACGTTTTGTGAAAAAAGCTGGACAGTAGATATTTTAGGCTTTGTGGGCCACATAGTTCCTTTCACAACTATTCAATTCTACCAATGTAGGCAAAAAGCAGCCACAGACAATATGTAAATAAATGAGCATGGTTATGTTTCCATAAAGTTTTATTGATACAGACTCCTGGTTGAATTTGACCTGCAGGCTGTAGTTTGCCACCCCCTGGCCTAGAATGACAGGGTACGGAGTCTGAATTTTAAATCTCTAATGGCATTTTAAAGTAGCCGCCCTTGTGAGTTCTGTCCCCCAATCTGGGTGGTCTCCTCGGACACCACCCAGCTACAGCCTGGGTTAGTTGGCTGCTTTATGCCCCTCCCCCAACCCTCCCCACACCTCCTAGATCCTAGTTGGGGCTCCCCTGTCACCTGAGCTGCTTCTTCCCTGTTTTGTGCCTATTTCCCCCACAAGACTGTGAATAGTAAGGTCGGTTTGAGTGGCCTCCAGTCTCTCCCCATAGTCTCCCTCAGAGGACCTGTCACAGTGGGCAGCTGTGCACACTTCTGAACAAATGAAGGTATGGTGAACAGCGCTGTGCTAAGGAAGGAGCAAGGATCCTGAGGAAGCAGTTCTGAGGAACTGGGAACATGATGGAGTGAGCAGGCCTGGGCGGGTGGGAAGGAGGGGTGGCCTGAACCTTACTGGTATTTGAGAGTCTCCTGGTGATTCCTCCAGTTGGCGATCTCTAGAGAACAACTGTCCAGGCCCCGCACACAGGGGGTGTCATCTGCTCCAGCTGTTCCATCCACAAATGGCCGCAGTCGCACAGCCACTCTTACTCGGGCTGGAGGCAATCGCCGGGCAGCTCCCACCTTGCTGAGCCGACAGCGACCAGCTCCTGGAGGCGAGAAGGTGAGTTTTAGTGTGGAGTATGGTGGGGCACAGCAGAGGGAGGGCGCAGCTCTGCTGAGAGGCAGAGGCAGGAGAGTGGCAGGGAGGAGGCATTTGATGGAGCTGAGCTCTGAAGGATGAACAGGAGCAGGCCAGGCACCCCCGGCAGAAGGACTGGCACATGCAAAGGCGTGGAGGTGTGGAAGTGAGATCCCTGGAGAAACAGTGAGGCAGGACTCTGTGTTCTGTTGGCGAGGGTGAGCAGAGGAGGGCAGGATGGGAGACAAGGATGAATCAAGTACGTGGTCTCAGGCAGAGTGTGAAGGAGGGAGACTCTACAGGTCAGGGGCTGTGAACCGGCCATCGTGTCCTTGGCAGACAGCAACACTCATTAAGCAATGCCCATATGCCAGGCACATTACTCGTCATGGTGTCCCTGAGAGAGAGATCCTGTCAGCCCCATTCTCTCAGGGAAGAAGCTCATAGAGGGCAGCAGCTCTTATGAGCACCTTGGCATTTTCCACCTGGGGCCACGTGGCCATTACTTCCTCTTGAACCATGTTGTCTCATATATTTTGTCTTTCCGCTCGTGAAAGGAGGAGTAAGCAGAGCAAAAACAATACAAACCCCCAGCATCTTAACAGCAGAACGGGGGCAGGGAAGAAGGCCCGTAGGCTGGGGTCCTGGGGCTTCCACTGGGAGGGCCAGTGGCCACAGCTCACTTCAGGGGAAGTCTTTCCTCCCTGGCCATGCTGTGAGTGTCCACAAGCTTGGCCTCATTGCTTTCCCTACTCTACAAGTAGGTCCAGTGGGGTGCAGACTATAATGTGCACAAAAGTAACCTGGACGATCTAGTTAAAATACAGATTTGGCTTCGGTCCCTGGGGCGATGCCTGAGATTCCGCATTTCTAGCAAACTCCCAGGTGATGCTGCTGCTGCTGCTGGGGCACACTTTGAATTCCCGAGATGTTACAGACCAGTACTCTGTCACAGAGCTGTCCTAAGGGTGAAAAGTTAACATTTGCCCCCCACCTAAAACCAGTCAAGGAACTTCCTGTCTTTTCTGTGCTTCTGTTTCTTACCTGGGGTTGATAATACATACTTACAGGTAAACACACACACACACAAATACACATACGCACGCGTGCGAATTCCAAACTGTTAATGATGGCTTTCTCTTGATGGGAGATTATGTGGGCTTATTTTGTATGTTACCCAATTCTGTAATGCTGTAATGTTTGCAATAAAAA